TACTATAACGGATGGGATGGTGATCATCATCGGCAGCAACAGCTGCAAAGGCATCACCAGTTGCAGATGCAGCATCATCATCATAGGCATTATTCATCTAACCCGCAAACTTACTACGAGAAAAGCTGCGAGACAAATGAGATTGTTTTTGGTGCAGTTCAAGAGCAGGATGGACGACGGGAAGCTGTAGTGATAAAAGCTGTTGACTATGGAGATCATATCTATAACCGCCACGACACTCGTCCTCGATTAAACTATATGGGTTATGCCCATAGGTACTAATCATAATCCCTGCTTATTATCATGGATCCAGTATAATCCCTTCTGATTTTCCTTTCAATTCCTGTTAGGAATGTTAGAATCTCATATTTTCCTTGTATCATAGCCTGTTTAGTTACCTACTCACTAAATCAACAATAAAAAATGAAGTATGATCCTTACTTCTGGAAATCCACTTGCCAATGTATAGATGATTACTGTTATTTTGATTAATGAATTGAGAAACATGATCCTGAAATATCTGATTCATGGCACAGTTGCCAATATAGGGAATATTTGGGACCACTCTGAATTGGCTCATACTTTCCCCTCTCTTTTAATTAATTTTTTTTTTGGGATGTTTTTTTTTCTTGATTTCCTTTTTTTTGGATAGATTGAAGAGGTCTTTCAATTTCTAGTTCATTCAAGTTTAGTGTATTTTCTGAAAATTTAATAATGATTTCTCTAGTGGCTATGATGATCTAGTCAATGGATGATTATGCAATACACTTGAATGTATATTTATATGTTGTTATACCCTAAACAAAACGTCTAATGCCCTTCTCCACCATTACTTGGTGCCACTTTTCTTTATCCCCACAGATCAAGAGCTTCAATAACTTGAAAAAGCTGATGATGAACCTTTCCTCCATGGTTAAACCCAGTTGTTGCAGAAGCATGGTGATGAATGATGGGTGGGCATTCATGGTAGAAAACAGACAAATGAGGTCGAGGAAAAGAAGTAGACGACACAGATTTACCAAAAATTGGAAGCTATAGTGTGGAATGGGGAATTAGTTTGACCAAATGAACAGGTTGAAGGAGAAAATGTAAGATTTAAATGGAAACTTGTAAGCAAACTTTGAAGGGAAACATGTTTCAGTCAAAAGGGGAAGTATGTTGTCACCTCCAATTTAGAGAATATCATGTTTTATGACTAAAAATCTACCATGTTGATTTTGAAAATTATATTAATGTTAATTAGAACAGATATGGTAGGTCTGCTGACATGATGAGTTGTGTGATAGTATTAATTAATAAATTTTTTCAATTACAATTTGGCTGTTAAATTATTCCATAAGCATTATTTTTTTTTATATAACAAAATTGTTTAGAAAAATAAACAAAGTGATTCTTATCTTGATTGGGTAGCATAGAAAATTATTAAAAATTATTTTAATTTTTTTTTGAAAAATGGTTACTTGATGTCTCTTCTTTGTTATTATCATTTGTATGTTTGAAATAAAATAAATCAAATTATTCTTGTTAAGTTTTTTTTTTTTATATATAATTTTTAAAAACTCTTATAAGAATTAAATAGAATTTTTGTCATTTTCTATCAAAATTTTCACATTTTACAAAATATGAAATAAAATAAAAATTATTTTATAAAGAAAAAAAATTAAGAAAATAACGTTAACTTAAAATTATTGTTATTATTATTATTAATTTAAATAATTAGTCAAAATTACTTTTTAAAGTATCTTTTTTCTTTAGTAAAAATGAACATTTGAAATATATAAAAAGATGGGGAGAACCAAATTATAAAACCTAAAGAATTAATTTGATAATTTAATTGATTTTTTAAATTGAAGAATTAAATTATAATAATAAAAAATATATAAAGAAACAAAAAATAATAATTATTAAAAACAAAATAGAATTCATAAATAATTTTATCTTTTCTTTTAAATCGCTTAAAAGGTCTCTTTTTTGTTATTAGAGATGTGAAATTTAATTAACCATTTACGTATTAATAATATTAGATTCTAAGCCCTCCTCAAAACTCCTTACAATTAACATTTTTTCTCCCTTTCCTTCCTTCTTCTTTTGTCGCTTAATCTGTATTTCTTCTCTACATAATTTCTTAATTTAATTAAAAGAATATAACAATTGAAAAAATAAAAATAAAAATAAAAAGAAAAAGAAACGCCTCCATTCTATCGATCATCGAACCCGTCATCTCCACCTTCTTCTTCTTCTTCTCCAAGCTAAAGCCAAACGCTGCCGTTTTAATCACGTGAAGAGTGGCGCGTCCTTGCCGAGATCCATGGAGCATTTGGCAGAGGACGGTAGCGAAGCATACCTGGAAGAGAAATCCCGCAGCGCCAGGCCCTCGTCGTAATGATGATTGTGTCTCCCCTCATCGAAGTTCAGAGCGTAACTACACGGATCGTAGCGGAATTTCCCTTGCCCTCTGCCTCCACCAAAGGTAAACCAATCACCGCCTCCTCCTCTGCCGCCGCAAAAGCAATTAGGGTTCCGGCTGAGCCGACGGATGAACGTCTTCCACTTTGGCCCTACCACCAGCTCCGAGAATTCCCGCAGCTTTCTCCAACCCCGTATCCACCACCGCTCGTGCGGCTCCCGGTTTCCACAATCGACGGTTTTAATGCGCTCCCACCAGACAGATCCAGCGGCGGAGAAGCAGCAGCCCTTCTTCGCAAACACGGCATCGTGGATGTCATCGTGGGCGTCGTATGTTACGAAGACCGGTTGCGATGTTGAGGGCATTACGAGAGAAAAGATTTCTGAGCTTGGGGTTTTGCAGAGAAAGAGGAAATCGGATGTCTCTTTGTTTCCTTCTCTGCAAATCCTAACTCAGTTTTGCGGGAGATCCTATCTCTCCCCTGAATCTACAGAGACCTCTCTTCCTTTATTATTATTTTTGTTTTTGTTTTGTGTTTCCTTTTTCTTTATTTCTTTGAGAGGAGGTTTTTTTGAGGGACGAGTTGTGACGGAAAACTCGGTGGGTATTGGAATGGGAAGTTGCCAAAACCGGGAAATGCCGGTCGCCACGCGTATTTGAGAGTTTGTAGATTTTAAATACCGATTTATACACCTGTCATAGCCGGTAACCTCATCTTTTGTGCATTTTGCCAAACACTGTATAACGGTCAAAGATGAAATGGCGCGTCCCAGGAAATAATCTAGTGCGATTCTTGTTGACTAATTTGATGAATATTATCCATCTAGTATTAATATATATATATATATATAGATTTATTTCATATATTAAAGTTGTTGATTATCTGAAATGTTTCTCAAAGTTAAATCGTATATAAGTAAGTTGTTATGCTTGTCAAAATTACCTCACAAACAAACGAGTACATGGTTTTCTTTCTCTTTCAAAGTGTAAATGTTACAAGTTGAAATTCAATTAATTGATGTAAGAAGATTATTTCTGAGATTTTGCTTTCAAATATTCATTTAAGATCGTTAATTATAATATCCCAACTTGCATTTGACATATTTTATCATCTTTATAAAAATGCAAAAAAAAAAAAATTATTATATTTAAATTAACATGAAATTGATTTAGAAATTAAATACTTATTATTACCATTCAAATTTCTACATTTATATTCTCTAAAATTAATTTACATATTTGATTCATAATTTAATAAATTTTAATCACTACCCTTAATTTTATAACTACAAATTTACTGTAATATAACTAGTAAACTTTTATTTCTATTTATAATATAATTATATTCAATAATATTTAAAAATGTCTTCTGAGGAGCAGAGGTGCGACGTGGATTCCTTCTTCAATCATTTGCAGGTCTTCCTGCAACTCTATATGTAACTTTAAACAAATTTTTAAAACACATTATGCATTATTATAAACTGATTAATGTGTGATTTCTAAAAGACGAGGTGATAATATTGACAAAACATGAAAATATAGACCCACCACGATACCATTACAATATGACAACCCTCTTTCTTTTTCACTTGAATGTTTTCTACCGCATCCAATGTGCTTACATTACACTTTATGAACACTTCTCCAGCACTTCGTTTCAATCTGCTAACTTTTTTTTTTCTTTTTATAAAATTTACTCATACTTTATTCGTATCCACTTAAAACTAATATACATATATATGGATGTATGTATAACATTCAATTTACAAAATTTTCATCACTTCCAATCACCTTCTAAGTGGGATTCTTTCAAGTGGTTTGATTTCAACAAGACCACATGGGAGGAGCAAAACACGTCCCCACCTCTGCTACTACAGCCAATAGTTTGAGTTAAAGGTCTCATCACAAGAGTTTGAAAGCAACTTATTCATCTCTTTTTAGATTTATCACGTATTTTTAATATCATTTTCCTTATTTATCTTCGTTTTCAACAACAATATATATATATATGAACTTAGAATATAAAAACCCAAAACTGTTTTTGAAGGATCTTAAGTCCTGGTTTTGAAGGATCCAGAAAGATAAACAGGAATAGGTTAGAACAAAATGCACTTGCGGATGATGTGTTCATTCATATATGGCAAACAACCAAATGCATTTGGAAAACCCGAAACTGGATTTTGAAACCTTTAATGCAGCAGAATCTCACGACTTACTAAATTGATTCCAACATTGTCAACAGAAATTAGTTGATTCCAGAAAACAAGCAATGATGTCTTAAATATGACCAAGATCAATGACATCTCTAGGTATTTCTGTTTATGCTTAATGATTTCAACGTAGAACCGTACAGAGAGAAAACATTTCCATTTTTGGTATTCCAGAAAGCAATTTTCATCAACATGGCATATTAAAAAAAATGTAAGAATCATGTAATTACATCCTTCCATAACCATAATAGAAGAAGACTATGAGTCTACCTCATCCTGCAACAATGCTAACAGTAATAAAAACATAGCCTGAACTATTTAAACACTTGAGATCACCAAAATACAACTCTAAGTTGTCAATTCCCTTTAGTAAGAAACTTCATTTGACATTAGGGTATTTTTTTTGTTTCAATATAAAACATAAAAGATTCCAAATATGCCACAGCCAATCATTATGATTTCCAAATTAGCATGCCAAGAATTTACCAGGAGAAGAAACCTAAGCAAAGACAAGACCAAGCTTCGACAAACTGATTAACCACCGCACAAGAAGCCGGAGAAATTACCTGTCATTTCTCTCGTGTTCCCTCTATCCATGGCAAATCTGCATTAAGAGAGGAAGACATACCAATTTGGGGCCCTAAAGAACTTGAAAACTTTCCCTTCTTAGACCAGAGCCAGATCTTGGAGACAGAAAAACTCTCACCCCTGGTTAAGCTACCAATGTTTTTCCCTCCCATATCATTGTCAACTAAAGAATTCCCATTATTTGCAAGCTGCGAATCATCGGTAGGACGATCATGGCAGAGCGGAACTTGGAGGACTGATTCACCAAGAACATACTGATACGAACCCATTGAATAACATCTTCTTGCATCCAAATAGCTGCTGCTGGTCTCTCCTCCTGCTTCCCCAGGCTCACCGTTCAGCCTTCTAAATTTTCCCAATCTCACTGGTAAAACCCCCTTCTCAATAACAATTTCTTCAGCATTTACATTTTTCTGACTACATGGGTAGACGTTTTCTCCATGACCAGGAAACTCGTCATCTTCCCTTATATCATCAAAGTCAAAAATTGGGTTTTCCATTGAAAAGCCAGGAGCGAAAAGGGTGCCTCTACAAAGAGGGCATGTAGAGTTGGAGAGGAGCCAGGTATCTATACAACTGATATGAAAAGCATGGCTACACACCGGAAGCAATCTCAGCTTATCCTTTTCGGAGAATTCACAGAGACATACAGCACAATCAAAAGGCTCTTTTAGACCAACTATCTCTTTGTACTGAAAAACAGGAAGGGCGTCTATAAAAGCTTGATCCAAACCAGAATCATGGAGATGGAAAAGCTGTTGAAGCTGTCTCTGAAGAGCATCGGAGGTGGAAATTTCAGGGTGTCTATTTGATTGAGGAGAGGATGAAGAAGATGGATGCTTTACGAGAAATCTAACAAGCAAGTGGAGAAGCCCCGAGATGAAAAATAAGACAGCAAGAATTACTATAATAAAAAGAAGAGCTGGGCTAATTCTACTGCCAGATGATGATGGAGATGAGGGCGAGGAGGGTGGTTCTTTCTGGAAAGTACCAGTAGATGGAGGAGATAAATATGAAGGAAGGAGAGGAGGTGGGTATGTCAAATAACCACTTTCTTGCTTCATTTGGTACTGAATCCGGGACATCTTCAAATGGCTATGCTCCAAAAACAACCCATCCTGTTTGTGCTCTAACATCCTATAAATCATATAACGGTAAGAACAGTCAAAAACCATGCTCCTCTCAGCCCGGATATGATACAATGTCCAAACCCAAATTTACAGTCACTTCATTTTGAAGCCCAAGATTGATCATCACATTATCGATCAAACCCATAATTTGAAAGGAGCAAGTGCTAGACTAGTAGAAAAATTTGAAAGGATCAAACCCATAATTTGGTTTTTAAAGATTTGAAAAATAATATAGCTGCACTGGAAGAAAGGAGCAAGTGCTAGACTAGTAGCAATATCCTTCTCTCTATCAGTGATTTGAAATCAGTAATTAAACAGAAATAAGCCGTAAAGCTGGCATTTGAAAATAATAGACCAGATACAGACTTACTGAGATAAGGTTAGACCAGATACTTACCTAGACGGTGGATGTTTTTGCAGCAAAAGAAAACCCTAAACACATAAAACGGTGTTTGAAGCTTAAAGAGACGGAAAGGAGGAGAGGGCGCAATTGGGTACTTTTCTCACTTCAATGAAAGTAGAGTTTCTCTCCCTGATGAAACTTCATTTTCTGTGACCTTGGAGTTCCGGAGTATATGGTGGAACTCAAAAAATTAAGGCCAGAATGGTGGCAGGAGGAGGAGCCAGGAGAGTTGGTTGCCCCAAGTGCAGAAAAGAAAGTGGACTTGGGCCACGTG